GCAGGTGGTCTCCTCATCTGCAGTGCTTGGCACATAGTATGGTGCTACTAGAGTTACTTTTTTTTTCCCTTCCTTCCCTCCCTCTCTTCCTTTCTTCCTTCCCTTTCTTTTCTTTTTTTTTTTTCCTGGATACAGAGTCTTACTCTGTCACCTAGGCTGGAGTGCAGTGGTGTGATCTTGGCTTACGGCAACCTTTGCCTTCCAGGCTCAAGTGATCCTCCCACTTCAGCCTTGCACATAGCTGGGACTACAGGTGTGTGCCACTATGCTCACCTAATTTTTGTAGATGCAAGGTTTCACCAGGTTGCCCAGGTTGGTTTCGAACTCCTGGGCTTAAGGGATCTGCCTGCCTCAGCCTCCTGAAGTGCCAGGATTACAGGCGTGAGCCACCATGCCTGGCTTCTTTTTCTTTTTTTAAGAGATAGGGTCTCACTGTGTTGCTCAGTCTAGTCTTTAACTCCTGGCCTCAAGCCAACCTCCCACCTCAACCTCCTGAGCAGGTGGGATTACAGGCTGGAGCTAGATAGGATTACACGTTTGAGCTACTGCACCAGCTGAGAGTCGCTTTTATTGTCATTGTTACTGTTGACATCATGGCTATCATCATCATCACCCTCATCACCGACAGACTACAGTCTCATATTCAGAGAAGCAGCTTAGTTTTCTCAGTTAAGGATCAATAATAGCAACTCCTTAGAGATAAAGAAGGACCTATCTTATTTAATGATCTCCAGCAGTGACTCCTTATTCTAAATTCAGGAGCTGCAATTAAGAATTTAGGTCATGGCTGGGTTCGGTGGCTCACACCTGTAATCCCAGCACTTTGGAAGGCAGAGGCAGGCGGATCACAAGGTCAGGGGTTCAAGTCCAGACTGGCCAATATGGTGAAACCCTGTCTCTACTAAAAAGAACAAAAAAAAATTTTTTTAGCTGGGCATGGTGGCTTGTGCCTGTAATCTCAGCTACTTGGGAGGCTGAGGTAGGAGAATTGCTGGAACTGGGACCTGGGAGGTAGAGGTTGCAGTGCACCGAGATCCCACCACTGCATTCCAGCCTGGGCTATAGAGCAAGACTCAATCAAAAAAAAAAAAAAAAAAAAAAAAGAATTTAGGTCACAATCTTTTTTTTCTTTTTCTTTTTTTGTTGTTGATGCACAAAAGCAGACATTTCTTTTCTTTTTTCTTTTCTTTTCTTTTCTTTTGAGACCGAGTCTCCCTCTGTAGCCCAAGCTGGAGTGTAGTGACACAATCTCGTCTCACTGCAACCTCCACCTCCCAGGTTTAAGCAATCCTCCTGCCACAGCCTCCTGAGTAGCTGGGATTACAGGCATGCGCCACTACGCCTGACTAATGTTTGTATTTTCCATAGAGACAAGGTTTCACCATGTTAACCAGGCTGGTCTTGAACTCTTGACCTCAAGTGATCCACCCACCTCGGTCTTCCAAAGTGCTGGGATTCCAGGTGTGAGCCACTGCACCCGGCCATAGGTCTTCTTGACTATATTTTATTTTTATCAAATATATATTTATCACAACCTTCATGACTTTTTAAAATAACAAGATTAGAGTGAAAGTTCTAGGCTGCTTTTTACAAGTATTTCTCTATAAATAACACATTGCAGTTGTGGACAGTATTTATTCCCAATAAATAGAAAGTCAAATTGGAGTAATGTTCACCATATATTCTATTTAGCACTGATTGCTTAAGCAAAAAGACATGTTGATTTGCTATATAAAGACCTTTCTAAAGAACTTTTATTTTAGGTTCAGGGGTATGTGCAGGTTTTTTTTATAGAGGTAACTTCGTGTCACGGGGGTTTTGTATACAGATTATTTCATCACCCAGGTACTAAGCATAGTACTTGATAGTATTTTTCCTGTTCCTCTTCTTCCTCTTACCTTCCTTTCTCAAGCAGACCCCAGTGTCTATTGTTCCCCTCTTTGTGCTCATAGATTCTCATTATTTAGCTCCCACTTATAAGTGAAAATATACAGTATTTGATTTTCTGTTTCTGCATTTGTTTGCTGAGGATAATGGCCTCTAGCTCCATTCATGTTCCTGCAAAAGACATGATCTCATTCTTTTTATGGCTGGATAGTATTCCATGGTGTATATGTACCACATTTTCTCTATCCATTGACTGTATTTTAAGTCAGATGGTGCAAATCATATGATAGTAGTGATAGTGGAGGGGGAATAGACCCACCAATATATATATTTTTTGGGACAGAGTCTTACTCTGTCGCCCAGGCTGTAGTACAATGACATGATCGTATCTCACTGCAGCCTCAACCTCCTGGGCTTAAGCAGTCCTCCTACCTTAGCCTTCCAAGTACCTGAGACTACAGGCACATGCTACCATGCTCAGCTAATTTTTTTTTTTTTTTTTTTTTTTTTGAGACAGAGTTTCACTCTTGTTGCCCAGGCTGGAGTGCAGTGGCGTGACCTCCGCTCACTGCAGCCTTGACTCACTGCAACCTCTGCCTCCAGGGTTCAAGCAATTCTCCAGCCTCAGCCTCCTGAGCAGCTGGGATTACAGGTGCCCGCCACCACACCTGGCTAATTTTTGTACTTTTAGTAGAGACAGGATTTCACCATGTTGGCCAAGCTGGTCTTGAACTCCTGACCTCAGGGATCCACCTGCCTTGGCCTCCCAAAGTGCTGGGATTACAGGTGTGAGCCACTGTGCCTGAACCAGTATATTATTATTATTATTGCAGAGCTAGTAATCAGAAATTTTTAAATGATTCTTTTTTAAAATTTATTTAACTTTTAAGTTTATGGGTACATGTGCAGGTTTGTTAAGTAGGTAATCTTGTCTCATGGGGGTTTGTTTTGCAAATTATTTTGTCACTCCGGTATTAAACCTGGTAACCCACTAGGTATTTTTCTTGTTTTCTCTCTCCTCTCACCCTCCACCCTCGGACAGACCCCAGTGTGTGTTGTTCCCCTTAATGTAACTATGTGTTCTCATCGTTTAGTTCCCATTTACAAGTGAGAACATGCGGTATCTGGTTTTCTGTTCTTATGTTAGTTTGCTAAGGATAATGGCCTCCAGCTCAAACCATGTTTCTGCAGATGATGGGATCTTGTTCTTTTTTTATGACTGCATAGTATTCCATTTGTATATGTACAACATTTTCTTTATCCAGTCCACCATTGATGGGCATTTAGATTGATTTCATGTCTTTGCTATTGTGAATAGTGCTGCAGCGACCATACATGTGCTTGTGTCTTTATGATAGAATGATTTCTATTCGTTTGAGTATATATCCAGCAATGGGATTGCTGGTTTAAATGAAATTTCTGTTTTTAGGTCTTTGAGGAATCACTACATTGTCTTCCACAATGGTTGAACTAATTTACACTCCCACCAGCAGTGTATAAGTGTTCCCTTTTCTCCATAGCCTCATAACCTCACCAGCATCTGTTTTTTTTTTTTAATACTAGCCATTCTGACTGGTATGAGATGGTATCTCATTGGGGTTTTGAGTTGCATTTCTCTAATGTTCAGTGATGTTGAGCTTTTTTTCATATGATTGTTGGCCACATGTATTTCTTCTTTTGAAAAGTGTCTGTTTATGTCTTTTGCCAACTTTTTGGCTGGGTGCTGTGGCTCAGGCCTGTAATCTCACTTTGGAAGGCTGAGGCAGGAGGATTGCTGGGCTGTATAGGGAGACTCTATCTCTACAAAAAATGAAAATAAAATTAGCCAGGCATTTGTAGTGCATGCCTGTAATCCCAGCTACTCAGGAGGCTGAGGTGGAAGGATCACTTAGGCCGAGAAAGTTGAGGGTGCAGTGAACCATAATTGCACCATTGTACTCCAGCCTGGGCAACAGAGCAAGACACTGTCTCTTTTTAAAAAAGTAAGTACTTCCATCTCCAGCACTGGTAGTATGATGGTAAGCCTTATTTGCCTTATTTTATTCTGTCATCTGAAAGTTGCTTTTTTTTTTTGAGACGGAGTTTCATTCTTGTTGCCCAGGCTGGAGGGCAATGGCACAATCTTGGCTCACTGCAATCTGCCTCCCAGGTTCAAGTGATTCTCCTGCCTCTGCCTCATGAGTATCTGAGATTACAGGCGTGCGCCACCATGCCTGGCTAATTTTTTGTATTTAGTAGAGACAGGGTTTCACCATGTCGATCAGGCTGGACACGAACTCCTGACCTCAGGTGATCCACCCACCTCAGCCTTCCAAAGTGTTGAGATTATAAGTGTGAGCCATCAGGCCTGGCCTGAATATTGTTTTAAAAAATGCCCATGCCCCATGCACTGCTCTTCACTTATTGACTACATCAATTGACGTATCATTTTTATCACAGAAGAATAAAACATATTCCTTTGGTACACAGAATGTTTTTGGGTTTATTCATTTTTGGTTTTTTTTTGGATTTTTTTGAGATGGAGTCTCACTCTGTCACCAAGGCTGGAGTGCAGTGGCATGATCTTGGCCCACTGCAACCTCTGCCTCCCGGGTTTAAGCAATTCTCCTGCCTCAGCCACCTGAGTAACTGGGATTACAGGCAGCCAACACTACATCTGACTACTTTTTTTGTATTTTTAGTAAAGACAGGATTTCACTATGTTGGCAAGGCTGGTTTTGAACTCTTTACCTCAAGTGATCAACTCGCCTCAGCCTCCTAAAGTGCTAGGATTACATGTGTGAGCCACCACGCCCAGCCTATAGACTGTTATCTGGGAAATCCTAGTCTAAGTGCTGGCAAAAGAAGGAGAAAGGAATAGGAAATATAAAGGATGTATTAAAAGCTACAATGGGATTTTGAGTCTTTGGGCTGTCTTAGAATGTTGTACTGTATTAGATTTCTTCTTCTCTACTAAAATATGGAGCTAAGGAACAAACTATGTGTATCCAAGTGGGTGTACATTTGTGATTATATATAGTTTGGAATCATTTTTTTCAAGAAGGCCAGGATCTTCCTCACTCTCCAACATGTAAATGATAATCCTTCTACCTCTTCCTCATGTCTCCCTGCAGCCATATGTGTCATTGGCTCAGCAGATGGCACCACCTAGCCCAAGCAACAGTACCCCTAACAGCAGCAGTGGAAGCAATGGAAACGACCAGCTGAGCAAAACCAACCTATACATCCGAGGATTGCAACCAGGCACTACTGACCAAGATCTTGTCAAGCTGTGTCAGCCGTAAGTTGGAGTACATGTGGATAGGCTTCCAGGGACAGTATAGATATGGTTTTGAGACAGGGCCTCGTTATATTGTCCAGGCTGGTCATGAACTCCTGGGCTTAAGTGATCCTCCTGTCTCAGTAGCTGGGATTACAGACGCATGCCACCTCTCCTGGCCTTGCCAACTCACTTATCCTAAAATGCAGTGGCATTTTGTTTCTACTCCATAGACACAAACTTTCTCAGCAGCCTCTCTCTTAAAAAATTCTACCTGCTACTGATATATATGATAAAGCCTTTATGGGTTTCTTTAAGGAAAGCCAGGGTCGGACTGGCCTTTAAAGCCTAAATATCTAGCTTTATTTCCAGCACTGCCCCCAACCTGATGATCTTAGTGGAAAGACTCCTGTCCTTACACCTTGAATAGGAATGTCCGAAATCTCTATAGATGTTAATTAGAAGGCATGAGAGAGCTGGCAGTGGGCACGGAAGAAAGTGGGACTTGCTGATCGAATCATGCTCTTCGGAGACTTTCTGCTGCTGGAGATATTACTGGTGAATGGAGACCTCAAATTAGCAGACAAAGAAGGTGGAGATAGAAGCGATCACTCTGGATCTACTCCATAAAGATCCTTTGGAATTCTTTTTAGCAGATTTGAACCATGGAATTGCCCAATTAGAATGCTGGAAAAACGGCAAGAGTGCACAGATGTCCAGCTCAAAAAATAAAAACCAATAAAAAATAAAGTCTGGAGTAGAATATAAAACTGGTCCTTGGGCTGGGCATGGTGGCACACACCTGTAATCCTAGCACCTTGGGAGGCCAAGGCAGGAGGATCACTTGAGCTCAGGAGTTCAAAACTAGGCTGGGCAACATAGTACGACCTTGTCTTTATAAAAAATATAGTAAAAAAAAAAAAATTTTTTTCTTAATTTTAAAAACTAGTCCGTTATCTCAGCTTACCTTGCTAGAAAGGTATATAAGTGGAACTGAGGGGACTGTCTTGGACTAGTAATTTTTGAGAGGTGAGAATTGGCATAAATGTTGCTTTATGAGGGAGGGAAAGAGTATCATATCAATCTAGGTCCTCAATTTCTATATTTTGTTTCTTGTACTAAATATAATATGCTACAAAAATTCTCTCACACCAGAAGACAGAGCAGAATTTTTTTTTTTAAGACTGTGTCTCAACCTCCCAAGTAGCTGAGATGACAGGCACATACCACCACACCTGACTAATTTTTGTGTTTTTAGTAGAGATGGGTTTTACCGTGTTGGCCAGGCTGGTCTCAAATTCCTGACCTCAGATGATGTGTCCACCTTGGCCTCCCAAAGTGCTGGGATTACAGGCATGAGCCACCGTGCCCAGCCAAAGAAGAATCTTAATTAGACTATACCATATATTCGTCCCTCAGTATCTGTGGGGGATTTGTGCCAGGACCTCCTCTGTCCCCCTGTATGGATACCAAAATTCACCAGTGCTCATGTCCCCACCCTTTTTTTGTTTGTTTTTTTTTTAAGATGGAGTCTCGCTCTATTACCCAGGCTGGAGTGCAGTGGTGTGATCTTGGCTCACTGCAACCTCCCAGGTTCAAGCGATTCTCCTGCCTCAGCTTCCCAAGTAGCTGTGACTACAGGCACCCACCACCACACCCAGCTAATTTTTGTATTTTTAGTGGAGATAGGGTGTCACCATATTGGCCAGGCTAGTCTCAAACTCCTGACCTCGGGAGATCTGCCCGCCTAGCCTCCCAAAGTGTTGGGAGTACAGGTGTGAGCCACTGCACCTAGCCCACCCTTTTTTTTCTTTTTTTTTGAGACAGGATCTTGTTCTGTCACCAAGGCTGGAGTGCAGTGGCATAATCACAGCTAACTGTAGCCTCCAGGGTTCAAGTGACCTTCCCACCTCAGCCTCCTGAGTAGCTAGAACTACAGGTACATGCCACCATGTTTGGCTAATTTTTTGCATTTTTTTAAGAGATGAGGTTTCATCATGTTACCCAGGCTGGTCTCAGACTAATGGGTTCAATCATTAGTCCTCCCACCTCAGCCTCCCCAAAAGCCGGGATTGCAGGCATGAGCCACTGTGCCTGGCCTGAAGTCCCTTATACAAAACAGTGTAGTGGCTGGGCACGGTGGCTCACACCTGTTATCCCAGCACTTTGGGAGGCCAAGGCAGGCAGATCACCTGAGTTCGAGAGTTCGAGACCAGCCTGGCCAACATGGTGAAACCCCATCTCTACTAAAACTACAAAAATTAGCCAGGTGTGGTGGTGGGCACCTATAGTCCCAGGTACTCGGGAGGTTGAGGCAGAAGAATCGCTTCAACCTGGAAAGTGGAAGTTGCAGTGAGCCAAGATCATGCCACTATACTCCAGCCTGGGTGACAAAGTGAGACTCTGTCTCAAAAAATAATAATAATAAAATTAAATGGTGTAGTATTTACATATAACCTACGCACATGCTCCCATATACTTTAAAATTATCTCTACATTACTTATAATACCTAATACAATACAAATGCCATGTAAATAAATGCTACACTATATTGTTTAGGGAATGACAAGAAAAAAAGTCTGTATATGTTCAGTAAAGATGCAACCATCCTTTTTTTTTTTTTTTTTTTTTTGAGACAAATTCTTGCTCTGTCGCCAGGCACCAGGCTGGAGTGCAGTGGCGCGATCTCGACTCACTGCAACCTCCGCCTCCCAGATTCAAGCAATTCTCCTGCCTCAGCTTCCTGGGTAGCTGGGACTACAGGCACACGCCACCATGCCCAGATAATTTTTTTGTATTTATAGTAGAGACGGGGTTTCACCATGTTGGCCAAGATGGTCTCGATCTCTTGACCTCGTGATCCTCCCGCCTTGGCCTCCCAAAGTGTTAGGATTATAGACTTGAGCCACTGTGCCTGGCCGCAACCATCCTTTTTTTTAATATTTTAACTTTTATTTTGGGTTAAAGGGTGCATATGAAGGTTTGTTATATAGGTAAACTCGGGATTCAGGTATTTGGTGTATACAGATTATTTCATCACCTTGGTACTAAGCATAGCACCCAACAGTGTTTTGGGCTATTTTTTTCCTGTATATTTTCAATCCAATGGCTGGTTGAATCCACAAGTGGGACGCCCACAGATACAGAGGGACTTGTATTTTGCCGCTCTGAACAGTTGCCTTATCTTTTGCTGTGTCTGAAGGATAAGAATAGTCAAGGGCAGCATGTAGGATTGAAGGGGCCCAAAAAGGGACCGTGGAGAGGCAGGGATGAAAGAGGTGCCAGAGGAGTCCTGAGGAGGAGGAGGCTGAGAAGAGCAGGTGGGCAGAGCCCTCTGTCCGCTGTGAGCAGGGAGTTAAGCCTTTCTAGGAAGGATGTTTCTCATGCGTAGAAGGACTTCCTCCCTTTCTCCCAGTTGTCTCTCCCTGGGTTGTAGAGGAAGTAAATATTGCTGGATCCCTAAAGTCTGGTATGTGGGAAGGAGAGGCGTGGAGTCTAGGACTGGAACTCCTGGTTCTCGGAAGGGCTCCTTCAAGGAAGCAGCAGCAGTGACCCAGCTGTTGCCAGCTGCAGTGGAAATTCTGAGCTCAAAGTCTCAGCTGCTAGACCACAGCAAGCTCCACCCTGGGGCCTTGATAGGGATAACAGCCTATGTGTCCTCTGCCCTACAGTCAGACTTCTCATGAGTCCCTCCCCTTGCCTAAATTTGGGAATGAATCCAAGTATGTAGCCTGGAAGGGCTAGGATAGCCACATCCATCCTCACCCTCCTTTTAAAGTGTTCTGTTCCCAGCCTCCAGGGCATTGCTTGGCTTATTCTGTCTAATCCTTTGGATCACAGAAGTTCCACTAAAAAAGTCAGTGAGATGTCGCCAAGGAGTAAAAAGAAATCAATCATCATATGTTCTTTAGGGATGGAAGGAGAGATGGGAAAATTGCTTGTTTGGGGTATTGTTCTCATATTCAGTCCTTACCAACTATTTTCAATTAGCTCTTGTACTTCTGACTTTGTTAGTGATTTCTGTTCTGTCTCTTTAATATTTTCACCCTCCTGGAGTAGAATGTAGAGGCTTTTTTCTAGTGGAACAACTCTAATATAATCCCTGATCTGTGATTCTCTACTAAAGTTTTAGAAGTTCCATGTGACTCTGCTACCAAAGTATAATTTTCAAAAAGTTATAAAATACAACTGTCAGGCTGGGCACAGTGCCTCATGCCTGTAAGCCCAGCACTTTGGGAGGCTGAGGCTGGTGGATCACGTGAGGTCAGGAGTTCAAGAGCAGCCTGACCAACATGGCAAAACCCTGTCTCTACTATAAATACAAAATTAGCTGGGCATGGTGGTGCATGCCTGTAATCCCAGCTACTTGGGAGGCTGAGGCAGAAGAATCGCTTGAACCCGCGAGGTGGAGGTTGCAGTGAGCAGAGCCACTGCACTACAGCCTGGGCAAAAAGAGTGAAACTCTGTTTCAAAAAAAAACAAAGAAAAACACAACTGTGTCTACTAAAAATACAAAAATTAGCTGGGTGTGGTGGTGCATGCCTGTAAGCCTAGCTACTCGGGAGGCTGAGGCAAGAGAATTGCTTGAACCTGGGAGGTGGAGGTTGCAGTGAGCCAAGATCTCTCCACTGCACTCCAGCCCGGGCTACAAGAGCGAAACTCCGTTTCAAAAAAAAAAAAGAAAGAAAGAAAAACACAACTGTCATACAAATATCAAATGATGTGTCAAAAGTTTTTTTAACTCATTAATGAGGGAACCAGCAGGATGGCAAAATGAGTTCAAAAAGCATTTGAGGAACTATATATAGGAAATGAAGAAAGAATGTTAGAATAAGATTGCTACATTAGATAAAAAACTGGTTTATGTCCTACAGGATAGTAAACCCACTAACCTTTGCAATTATTTTTTCTACTGTACAGAAATCATTTGCATGTTTACTGGACAAATATCTATAACTCAGCCAAGTGCAGTGGCTCATGCCTGTAATTCCAGCACATTGGGAAGCTGAGGTGGGAGGATCACTTGAGCCCAGGAGTTCAGGACCAGCCTAGGCAACATAGTGAGACCTCTGTCTCTACAAAAAATTTAAAAATTAGCCAGATGTGGTGGCCTGTACCTGTAGTCCCAGCTACTCAGGAAGCTGAGCTTGGGAGGTTGAGGCTACGGTGGGCTATGATCATGCCACTGCACTCCAGCCTGGGCGACAGAGTGAAGCCCTGTCTGACAAAAATAAATAGATCAGGCATAGTGGCTCACACCTGTAATCTCAGCACTTTGGGAGGCTGAGGTAGGAGGATTGATTGAGTGCAGGCATTTGAGACTAGCATGGGCAACATGATGAAACCTCATCTCTCAAAAAATACAAAAAATTAGCCAAGTATAATGGCATGTGCCTATAATCCTAGCTATTCTGGAGGCTGAGGTAGGAGGATCACTGCTAAACTTGATCTCGCAGGCTGCAGTTAGCTGCTATTGAGCCACTGCACTCCAGCCTTGGTGATAGAACAAGATCCTGTCTCAGAAAAAGTGGGGAGACTTGAGCATCAGTGGATTTTGGTATCCATGCAGGGGGACGGAGGAGATCCTGGAACAAACCCCCCACAAATACTGAGGGATGAATATATGGTGAAGTTGAATCAATATTCTGCTCTGGGCTGAGTGTGGTGCCTCACACCTGTAATGCCAGCAGTTTGGGAGGCTGAAGTAGGCAGATCACTTGAGGCCAAGAATTCAAGACCAGCCTGTCCAACATGGTGAAACCCCTTCTCTACTACAAAAATTAGCTGGGCATGGTGGCATGCATCTGCAGTCCCAGCTACTTAGGAGGCTGAGGCAGGAGAATCACTTGAACCCAAGGGGCAGAGGTTGCAGTGAGCCAGATCACACCACTGCACTCCAGCCTGGGTGACAGAGTGAGACCCTGTCTCAAAAAAAAGAATAAAATAAAACCCCCAAAATCTATCAGTTTGAATATATCTTTACCAAGTCTGGGCCTTAATCAGTAGTAAATAGTCAAACAAAGAAACATCCCACTGGATAGCGAAATATTCCTTGAATGAATCTTTTGGACAGTGTTTCAGAATGACATTGAAAGGATATGCAAAGCCAGGTGCGGTGGCTCACACCTGTAATCCCAGCACTTTAGGAGGCCCAGGCGGGTGGATCACCTGAATTCAGGGGTTTGAGACCAGCCTGGCCAACATGGTGAAACCTCGTCTCTACTAAAAATGTAAAAATTAGCTGGGCGTGATGGCAAGCGCCTGTAATCCCCGCTACTCGGGAGACTAAAGCAGAAGAATCGCTTGAACCTGGAAGACAGAGGTTGCAGTGAGCTAAGATCGTGCCATTACACTCCAGCCTGGGTGACAGAGCAAAACCCCATCTCCAAAAAAAAAAAAAGAAGAAGAAGAAAGGATATGTGGCACTTTTGCCTGATCACCAAAATTTATATGATTTTTTTTTTTTTTATGAGATGATTTTCTTAGAGCTAGGCATGGTGGCTCTCAGCCGTAATCCCAGCACTTTTGGAGGCCAAGGCAGAAGGATTGCTTAAAGACAGGAGTTCAAGACCGGCCTGGGCAGCATAGTAAGATCCTGTCTCTACAAATAATTTAAAAAATTAGCCAGACGTTGTGGTTCACACCTGTGGTCCCAGCTATTCAGGAGACCGAAGCAGGAGAATTGCTTGAGCCTAGGAGTTTGAGGCTTCAGTGAGCCATGTTCACACTACTGCACTCCAGCCTGGGCAACAGAGCCAGACCCTGACACACAAACACACACACACACACACACACAGTGATTTAATACTATAGTTCCCACTCCCCTTCCTAACACCCTCAAATCTTGACAATGAGAAATAGAAGTCTCAGAATATGGTAAGACAGAGAGAGAGATTAAAGTTGAGGTTCCTTGGATATAATAATAATCATAGTAATTAAGATTTTTAAGTGCTTACCATGTGGTAGACATTAATGATTTATATTTATTAATTCATTTCACATTCCTAACAATCCTATCTCCATTTTATGGATGATGAGGCTGAGATGCCAAAAGGTTAAATGACTTGTTCAAGATCACAGATAGCTAAAAAGTGGCTTTGAACCAAAGCAATTTGGCTCATGTTGACCTTCAATTAAAGGGGTCAGTGGAGGGGTGATGGGAATAGGATATCAGAGAAGAAAAATGTCTATAGTTTTTTCATAGGATCAGTGGTGTTTTCCATAAGAAGATAAGTAACGTCAAAGATTGTTTTTAGTCCTCAGGGAATTCCAGCCGGAGCTCTGCCTCTACACACTCTGTTGTGTGGACATTGCCCAGCTTCTTTCCCCAGAAGACAGTCACCTCTTTCCAACTAGTGTGTGAGTCTTGGGAAAGAAGAGAGAAATGTGTTGGTATTATAAGGACTGCAGTTACCTTGTTTCTTTTAGGCACCTTTAGGGAGGATGAATTTATATTAAGTGTGGCATTTTTAACCCATTTCTTTTTTTTTTTTTTCTTTTTTCTTTCTTTTTTTTTTTTTTTTGAGACGGAGTTTCACTCATGTTACCCAGGCTGGAGTGCAATGGCGCGATCTCGGCTCACCGCAACCTCCGCCTCCTGGGTTCAGGCAATTCTCCTGCCTCAGCCTCCTGAGGAGCTGGGATTACAGGCACGTGCCACCATGCCCAACTAATTTTTTGTATTTTTAGTAGAGACGGGGTTTCACCATGTTGACTAGGATGGTCTCGATCTCTTGACCTCGTGATTCACCCGCCTCGGTCTCCCAAAGTGCTGGGATTACAGGCTTGAGCCACCGCGCCCGGCCCGCAGCTCATTTTTGTATTTTTAGTAGAGATGAGGTTTCATCATGTTGGCCAGGTTGGCCTCAAAACTCCTGACCTCAAGTGATCCACCAGCCTCAGCCTCCCAAAGTGCTGGGATTACAGGCGTGAGCCACCATGCCCCATTTCTTTTTTATTTTCATTAAGGTTTGAGTAGGAAAAATTGGAGCATGGAAAGGGCATGGATCTGTCGAGATGTCTGAATCTCTGTCCTATGCTTAGTCTCTGCCCCCAGATTATTACTTTGCATTTTCCTCTCCCTTAGATATGGCAAGATTGTTTCCACTAAGGCCATACTGGACAAGACCACAAACAAATGCAAAGGTGAGAGAACAACTGTCCGTGGTGACGGAGAGCACCAGTAAGTGAGGCCATCCCTTGCCACCGCCCTTTACCGCTGAGTCCTGAGTCTACAGTGTCAGCAAAGAGTACCTGAAATTTTTAGGCTTAAAAGATTAGGAGATATTTAGATTCTTTGGTGACCAGATAGCTGGAGCTGAAAATGCTGTTTAGGGGACCCAAGGCCAGATGACTGTACAAAACACCTTTAAGTCTACTGGGCTTATTTTGGCCCTTGTATTTCCCTGGATGGTGCAGTAGAAGTGGGTAAGTGAGATTTTTTTCTGCTTAGCAAAGCCATGTAAATGCATTTTATTGGGAGTATCTTGGTGGGTATTATTTTCTGAGGGTGAATAGTTTTATTGGGGTTTTGAGCAGTTCTAGATAGAGCTGGAAGAGTAGAAGGAAGAAAAAGGGCTATAGGTTGGGGTGGTGAGGGCCTTCTTCCAGCAGGTGGCTGGTGGTCTGCTCTGGAGAGGCTGCATTCCCTACATTCCTAGCATTTCTGGGATATATCAAGAAAAGAGGGGGGGATTTTTTAGAGGTATAGGGGAGCTTTGGGTTATTAGAAGAGCCTAGCTCTTGAAACCTCAAATTTCTTAAGAGGGAGGGAGAAAGGCAGGGACACCACAGTAGCTCATTGCCTTGGCATTCTTAGCCACAAAGTAGATCACACGTCACGGTTTGAGAAGCAGGTAGATAACTACCTGAAATCTCTCAATAGCTCTTTCTCCCTCCCGCTTCTGTTACATGGATGATAACTCTTCCTCTGTCTCCTGAACAACCTGGACCTCCCTATGTCCCTTACACCTCCCACCTCCCAGTGATGCTGTTTCTCTGTCCCAGGCTATGGCTTTGTAGATTTTGACAGCCCTTCAGCAGCACAGAAAGCTGTAACAGCACTGAAGGCCAGCGGTGTACAGGCACAGATGGCAAAGGTAAGGGTATTCCCCCATGTCTGTTCCTCCAAGGGGTTTATGGTTAGCACCAAAGTTCCAGTTCTAAGGTTTCCAGAGGGCTTAGGAACCATGAAATTGAGTGGGAAAGTGCTATCCACAGTGCTTTCTAGACAGTCCATGAGTACTCCTGGCTGCTGGAGGAAGATGTATTCAAAGTCTATGGCAAGTAGCTCTGTCAACTCTGTTCCTCTCACCAAGTTACTGGCAGCAAGAAAGAGGGTAAGGTGGCCTCTTCCAGTACTCCTGCTGCTTCCCTATTTTCCCTGTATTATTCACCCTGGCCCCACTTCCCTACCAGACAGCTTGTGGTGGTTTTGCAACATTCTCTGAACAAGTCAATTGTGCAACTCAGAAGTTCAGAACAATGCTCTCCACCTCCCAGTGTTGTTCCCCATAGGGGCCAGGGTAGTGGGCTGGGGAGGCAGGAGGGAAGCCACATCAAGGGAGGAAACTGTCCCTTCTCCTCAGATCTCTCTGAAACTGTTGTCTTCACCTGGCTACCAGAAATCTAAAAGCTTTTTTCTCTCACTTCTTCTGTTAGGTGGGATTGTCCCCTTGCCTTTCTGAAGCTGTACTATACATGGAGCTTGTGAGGCAAGCCTGCCAGCCACCTTTTCTGTAATGGTTAAAGAAAAAGGAAACGAAAGGAAAAGGCAGATGGGGATTAAGGTTGCTGGTGACCACTGTTTATGGCAGAGTGACTGCTTAAATTCTTAAAAATACAGCTGTTGGATGATACTGCCATTTTGCACATTCAGTCCTCTGGAAGGGCTCTCCTACCTCTTCCAGGAGCAAAACCCTCTGACAAAAGCTCAAAGATTTAGGAGCCTTCAGGGTTCCTAGGAGACTGTAGCTTTCAGGGCTCCATGGTGACCCAGTGAACTCCACATCTGCCTCTTTCCCTGTCCCTCTCCCCTCTTCCTGCTCTTCCTCCATCAGGGAGTGAACAGGCATTCCTACTTAGAGGATTCTGCGTGGCCGGAAGAGAAGGGGGAGGGGCTGCTCAAAACAAGCCAGCCAAGGAGCAAGGCAGCGCAGGGGAACCCAGCCTCAGGACGGCTGCTGGGGGAGAGCGGGAATGCTGCTCTGCCTGTTTCTTTCTTTCTTTCTTTCTTTCTTCTTTTTTTTAATAAACTGTATCAGCTACACAGCCTGTTTCTTAAAGAGACAGCCGGCCGGGCGAAATGGCTCATGCCTGTAATTTCAGCACTTTGGGAGGCCGGTCGAATCACAAGGTCAAGAAATTGAAACCATCCTAGCCAACATGGTGAGACCCGGCTCTACTAAAAATACAAAAATTAGCCAGGCCTGGTGGCACACGTCTGTAGTCCCAGCTACTCAGGAGGCTAAGGCAGGAGAATCGCTTGAACCCGGGAGGCAGAGGTTGCAGTAAGCCGAGATTGCGTCATTGCACTCCAGTCTGGCAACAGAGCAAGACTCTGTCTCCAAAAAAAAAAAAGAGCCAAACACCATTCATGACTTGTATGATGAGCTTGTATAGTACTAGAAATATAAAATCTGCGCTTTTCCCTCCTGGAACTCAATAACCCGTTGTAGTGGGACTGGGTGTTAACGGATAGGATAATCTTTGTTTATGTGGGACCCTTCCTCTAGTCTCTTTTCTGAAATGTCATTTTGTGAGGAGGGCTGAGGGTGGGAGAGGGATAGCCTCATTTTCTCACTGTTATTTCCATAGCAACAGGAACAGGACCCCACAAATTTATACATCTCAAACCTCCCACTGTCAATGGATGAGCAGGAACTGGAGGGGATGCTGAAGCCCTTTGGCCAGGTTATCTCCACCCGTATCCTTCGAGACACCAGTGGGACCAGCAGAGGGGTTGGCTTTGCAAGGTGAGGAAGGCAGGAGTGGGGAAATGATGAGGTTAATAACGAATGTCACTTAGGGGTCACCAAAACACAAAATCTGTGCCTCTTCCCACACAAGGTCAAAATACTTGACTGTTAGTCAAAAATACTTGACGATAAGTCCAGAGTTCATTTGAGGCCGGGCGCGGTGGCTCACGCCTATAATCCCAACACTTTGGTAGGCCAAGGCAGGCACATCACCTAAGGTCAGGAGTTTGACACCAGCCTGGCCAATATGGTAAAACCCCATCTCTACTAAAAATACAAAAATTAGCCAGGTGTGATGGTGGGCGTCTGTAATCCCAATTACTTGGGAGGCTGAGGCAGGAGAATTGCCTGAACCTGGGAGGCGGAGGTTGCAGTGAGCCAAGATCACACCACTGCACTCCAGTCTGGGCAAAAAAAGAAGGCTTTTTACCATATTGGCCAAGAAAAAAAAAAAAGCTCATTTTATTATAGGTTACAACACTCAAAAACCCATTAGCCCTACCTAAATATTTTTTTTAATAAAGATGCGGTCGGGCCAGGCATGGTGGCTCACGCCTGTAATCCCAGCACTTTGGGAGGCTGAGGCAGGTGGATCACGAGGTCAAGAGATCGAGACCATCCTAGTCAACATGGTGAAACCCCGTCTCTACTAAAAATACAAAAAAAATTAGCTGGGCATGGTGGCGCGTGCCTGTAATCCCAGCTACTCAGGAGGCTGAGGCAGGAGAATTGCCTGAACCCAGGAGGCGGAGGTTGCGGTGAGCCGAGATCGCGCCATTGCACTCCAGCCTGGGTAACAAGAGCGAAACTCCGTCTCAAAAAAATAAATAAATAAAATAAAGATGTGATCTTGCTGTGTTGTCCAGGCTTCTCTTGAACATCTGGGCTAACGTGATCCTCCTGCCTCAGCCACCTAAGCAGCTGGGATTACAAGCATGAGCCACCACACTCAGCTAAGCTCCCAAATCATTATTCTTTCCCTACTTCCCGCTACTCTAGGCTTTGTTCCTTTGTTCCTTTGATCCAGACCCAGGCAGAGTAAAAAATTCTGTATATTCTTATAGTTTACTGAGTATTTCTCATCTTGTTATCTCATTGAATCTTTCCAATAGCCCTATGAGATGAATATTCTCCATCTTACGGATGAGGAAAGTAAACTTCTCAGTATTAAGTGATTTGCCCAGGGTCTCACAGGAGTGGGTGTTAGAGCAGAGCCCTGATCCTTCTGGCTTTGAGATCAGTAGGATGAAGAAGTTTTGATCTTCCTTTTCAGATCTATTGGGAGACCTCTATTCTAGAACAATTCTGTGCCTGGGATAACAGATCTTTGTGAGCCTTGGTTCACTCACTGAAGTGGAGATTGATTCAGATGAGTAATTTCCCCAAAGTATTCCCTTTACCTGCAGTTTTCCAGGGTGCCCTTCTTTGGGCTCTGGTATCTGCCCTCATTGTCATAAGGCATCGGCCTCCCTTAGCCCACTTAAGAAATGGCTCTGATTTGAAAGGAGATTCTTTTGCCTTTTTTTTTTTTTTAGTTTGAAAATGACTGGACTAAGTGAGCTAAGCACCCCTTTTTGCTTTAGAATATCTTGTCTAGTCCATGAACACTCCCTTACTCTGAGTGTTTCAGACCTTGGGAACAAGAAGTCATTCCTCTTGACCGAGCACGGTGGCTCACACCTGTAATCCCACCCACTTTGGGAGGCAGAGGTGGGTGGATCACCTGAGGTCAGGAGTTTGAGACCAGCCTGGCCAACCTGGTGAAACCCTGTCTCTCCTAAAAATACAAAAATTAACTGGGCATGGTGCTAGGCATAGTGGTGGGCACTTGTAATCCCAGCTACTCTGGAGGCTGAGGCAGGAGAATCACTTATCACTTGAACCTGGAAGGCAGAGGTTGCAGTGAGCCGGGATCAAGCATTGAACTCTAGTCTGGGCAACAGAGTGAGACCCACCTCTCAAAAAAAAAAAAAAAAAAAAGAAAGAAAGAAAAAGAAAGAGTTCCTCTTCCCCAGCTGACTCAATCTTAGTAGCACCACCTGCTGGCAATCCCGGGTTTAACTAAAGGAGAGTTCCTAGCAGAGGTTCTCAACATTTCTCCGTTTGTGCCACCCTTAGTTATCATAATAGTTTTTTACCCTAGACCAAAAGAAGTACCTAACAGTTCAATTTATTAAGTAACTGAATGGTCCACACAACTTTTTTAAAAAATTTCCTGACAGCAATAACTTCATGGTCCACACAACTTAATAAGTGTTTATGCTTTAACAACTTTGTGGCTGCTTGAAAAAATAATATACAAACATTGAAAGAGAGAACGTCTTTATTTCATTCTAACTATACTTACTAATGGAATATGTGCCTGTTGGAATTGCACAACTTCTCAAAATCTGGTATCAGAATGGACACTTACACCTTCATTTCCTGGTACATCCTGTTTTTTCTTATGGTATTTGCTTTTGTCATAGCAACTATTTAAACCCATCTTTGCAAAAATATGTTATCAAAAAGATTGTAGGGGGAACTAATGTTGAAACAGTGAAAACTTTGAGTTAGTAGTGCACACAGTCTCCAACAGATACTGCTATTTTTCTTCAAAGAGTTAAAATATCCCTCACCGTGCCTCTCTGAGTTCACTACAGTGACCCACGGTGCCTGAGAGCACAGCTCAGGAACTGTGGCTTTAGAGACTTTTATAAAACTATGAAATCTCTTGTATGTTTCTATGTTCATATCTATAAGTTTTCTTCATATGTTTAGATTCATCCAAACTATGATTTCCAGCAAATTATAAATGTTGACATTTAAGATAAAACAATTACCTCATTTAAAAATGTATTCAAACAAGATCTAAATATCATAGCAATCTGATACACAAATCATTCATTTAAAAAATACTGGACTTGGCCAGGCGCGGTGGCTCACGCCTGTAATCCTAGCACTTTGGGAGGCTGAGGTGGGTGGAGAACCTGAGGTCAGGAGTTCAAGACCAGCCTGGCCATCATGGTGAAACCCCCATCTTTATAAAAAAATTTAAAAAAAAATACTGGACTTTGGGAGGCCAAGACGGGTGGATCACTTGAGCTCAGGAGTTCAAGACCAGCTTGGACTATGAGGTGAAACCCCATCTCTACAAAAAAAATATCAAAAAAAAAAAGCTGGGCTAATTTCTAATCTTGTGGCTAAAATAGATATAAACTTATTATTTTTTTAAATTAGCTGGGCATAGTGGCATGTGCCTATAGTCCCAGCTACCTGGGAGGCTAAGGTGGGAGGATCACCTGATCCCAGGACATCAGGGCTGCAATGAACCGTGATCATACCATTGCACTCTGGCCTGGGCTACAGAGTGAGACCCTGTCTCAATACATACATACATACATACATACATACATACAGGAGTATGGGTAGAGCTGGAGGCAGATGGGATGGGTCTTGCCCTGGGGGTGGAGCTGTGGACCCACAGGATTCCCAGCCACTTTCTATTCCCCCTTACCTTTACCCCTACACCAAAAAAAAAAAAAAAAACCCCAGGCCTTTTTTTTTTTTTTTTTTTTTTTAATACGGTAATTCCCCCTTATTTATGGTTTCACTTTCTGTGGTTTCAGTTACCCATAGTCAACTGAAAAATATTAAATGGAAAAATCTGGAAATAGTTCATAAGTTTTTAAATCATATACCATTCTGAGTAGCATGATTAAATTTCAGGCCGGGCAAGGTGACTCATACCTGTAATCCCAGCACTTTGGGAGCTGGAGGTGAGCGGATCCCTTAAGGCCAGGAGTTCAAGACCAGCCTGGTCAACATGGTAAAACCCCATATCTACTAAAAATAGAAAAAATAGCCAGGCATGGTGGTGTGCACATGTAGTCCCAGCTACTCAGGAGGCTGAGGCAGTAGAATCACTTGAATTCTGGAGGTGGAGGTTGCAGTGAGCCGATATCATACCACTGCACTCTAGCATGGGCAACACGGTGAGACTCTGTCTCAAAAAGAAATTTCATGTTGTCCAGCTCCATCCCACCCTTTGTCCAACGTATCCACACTGCAGATGCTACCCTCCCATTAGTCACTTAGTAGCTATTGTGGCCATCAGATGAGAAAACATAGTATATCTAGGGTTTGACACTATCCATGGTTTCAGGCATCCACTAGGGGCCTTGGAATGCATCTCCTGAGGATAAGGAGGGACTACTGTAGTCATAAATCTCGTATCATTCTTATAACATTCCTTGTTTTCTTCTTGATCTTGTGTTTCTATTCCATTTCTCTATAGAATTGTATTCTAGTGTAAAATATTTTTATAATTAAAAGTCGTTATGGATCATCTTGTCATACTTCTCTGCAACAAAAATATGTATATAAATAAAAATTTTGGCTGGATGTGGTGGCTCATGCCTGTGTAATCCCAGCACTTTGGGAGGCTGAGGCAGGTGGATCACTTGAGGTCAGGCATTCGAGACCAGCCTGGCCAACATGGTAAAACCCCATCTCTACTAAAAATATGAAAGTTAGCTGGGTGTGTTGGTGGGCACCTGTAATCCTAGCTACGTACTTGGGAGGCTGAGGCAGGAGAATCACTTGAACCTTGGAGGTGGAGGTTGCAGTGAGCTAAGATCACACCACTGCACTCCAGCCTGGACAACAAAATGAGAGTCCAAAAAAAATTTTTTTTAAAGTTATTTTAAAATGTTCGTACAAGGATGGGCACAGTGGCTCATGCCTGTAATCCCAGCACTTTGGGAGGCTGAGGTGGGTAGATCACCTGAGGTTAGGAGTTCAAGACCAGCCTGGCTAACATGGTGAAACCCTGTCTCTACTAAAAATACAAAAATTTTATATAAATAAAAATTTTGACTGGGTGTGGTGGCTCATGCCTGTGTAATCCCAGCACTTTGGGAGGCTGAGGTGGGCAAATCACTTGAGGCCAGGAGTTTGAGACCAGCCTGGCCAACATGATGAAACCCTGTCTCTACTAAAAATACAGAAATTAGCCGGGCATGGTGGCACATGCTGGTAATCCAAACTACTCAGGAGGCTGAGACAGGAAAATCACTTGAACCCGGGAGGATAAGGTTGCAGTGAACCCAGATCACGCCACTGCACTCCAGCCTGGGTGACAGAGCACAACTCCGTCTAAAAAAAAATTCCTTTTGAATTATATGGCAAGAACCAAAGTGTTCTGTCATCAAAATTGATTTTTTAATGTGTGAATTGACACCTTGCTAAAGTCCCCCAACTTTGTTGATTCTAAAGAATTGGAAACCATTTGAGAGGAGCTATTGTAAGAAGGGACTTCAGCTTTGATCATTAGCCATCAGGAGCTCTCCCTCAGGCACATCAGATTTAGCCGTTTTAGAGAAAGTTGAGGTTCTGAAATGCTCCATGGGCTGCTCACCCTTTGGAAAGACTATTATAAGGCGTAGAAATACCCGACAGAAGCCCACTGCTCTAGGATAGCTAATGTGTGGTTTTCTCTAAAAGGCTCAATTTGAGGACTTTTTAAAGTTACCTCTTTTATAGGAATGGTTCATATTTCTGGTGGTCATTGGCACAGCAAATGTGAGTCTTACTTTAAATATGGAAATAGGTGAAGATACTGTTCCTTGTTCTATATAGTCCCTTATAATTTTTAGAGCACGTTTATATAAATTATCTCCTTTGATCTATACAACACTGTATGGTAGAGTAGATAGATGTTATCTCTAAAGCATAAATAAGGAGTGGATCAGAGGGTTTTTTTGTTTCCGGTTGTTTGTTTTTGAGACAAAGTCTCGCTCTGTCACCCAGGCTGGAGTGCAGTGGCACAGTCTCAGCTCACTGCAACCTCCACCTCTTGGGTTCAAGCGATTCTGCTGCCTCAGCCTCCCGAGTAGCTGGGATTATAGGCTCCCGCCATCATGCCCAGCTAATTTTGGTCAGGCTGGTCTCAAATTTTTGACCTTGCGATCCACCTGTCTTGGCCTCCCAACGTGCTGGGATTACAGGCATGAGCCGCCGCACCTGGCTGTTTTTGTTTTTTGGTTTTTTTTGAGACTGAGTCTCGCTCTGTCACCCACGCTGGAGTGCAGTGGCCCGATCTTGGCTCACTGCAACCTCTGCCTCTTGGGTTCAAGCGATTCTCTTACCTCTACCTCCCAAGTAGCTGGGACTACAGGCATGCACCACCAAACCCAGGTAATTTTTGTATTTTTAGTAAAGACAGGGTTTCACCATGTTGGCCAGGCTGGTCTCAAACTCCTGACCTCAAGTGATCCACCCGCCCCAGCCTCCCAAAGTGCTGAGTTTATAGATGTGAGCCACCTCACCTGGCCGGTCAGAGGGTTTTTGTGAGTGTTCTAACACAGAGCTCTGGGTGCTGGAATCTCAGTCTTCTGATTACTTATTCCTCGCTCTCTGACAAGAAACTAAGTCAGTAGATTCCAACATTCCTTTTTCTATCACTATGGGCCATGAACTCTTTCTTACTGCTTTTTCCTTCCACAGATTGGTGAAATCTTAATGATATTATCAGTAGCTAATTAGACCTTGACCTTAATTACAACAAGAAGCAAAAAATTAAATATTGGCAAATTCTTAGCTTGTACAATTTTATCAAATTAAATAAATAATTTCTATTCAGAATTTTTTAATAAAAAATAATGGTGGCCAGGTGCGGTGGCTCATGCCTGTAATCCCAAGGAACAACTTCTATTGAGAATTTTTTAATAACAGTATCCAGGCACAGTGGCTCATGCCTGTAATCCCAGCACTTTGGGAGGCCAAGGCAGGTGGATCATGAGGTCAAAAGTTCAAAACCAGCCTGACCAACATGGTGAAACCCCGTCTCTACTAAAAATACAAAAATGAGGCAGGTGTGGTGGCACACACCCATAATTGCAGCTACTCGGGAGGCTGAGGCAGGAGAATCATTTGAACCCAGGAGGTGGAGGTTGCAGTGAGCCGAGATCATGCCACTGCACTCCAGCCTGGGCGACAGAGCGAGACTCCATCTCAAAAATAATAATAATGGTAACAGCCTCTATTTCTTCTATTCTTATTTATGTGCCAGACACAATAGAGGGCCCATGTTAATAGTCTGGCTGGATGCAGTGGCTCACGCCTATAATCCTAGCACTTTGGGAGGCTGAGGCGGGCAGATCACAAGGTCAGGAGTTCGAGACCAGCCTGGCCAATATGGTGAAACTCTGTGTCTACTAAAAAATACAAAAATTAGCTGGATGTGGTAGTGTGCACCTGTAGTCCCAGCTACTCAGGAAGCTGAGAAGAATTGCTTGAACCTGGGAGGCAGAGGTTGCAGTGAGCCTAGATTGAGCCACTGCACTCCAGCCTAGGCAACAGAGCAAGACTCCATCTCAAAAAAAAAAAAAAAAAAAAAGGTCTGAAGACTGCCATTATTCCTATGAGGATCCCATACAAGGACCAATTGAAAGGACCCCAATTACAAGTTGGGGTTACCTCTTCAAGAACCTTGAATTTGTGTGGCAGACACTCTGTGTTTCTGTAGTCACAATATTTGGAGCATTTGTGGGGCTGGGAACTTAGAGCTTTCTCTTTGAAAGTGTGGAAAGCACAGATCCTAGAGAAGCTAGAGCCTAACCCTCTTATGCTCCTTAGGATGGAGTCCACAGAGAAGTGTGAAGCCATCATCACCCACTTTAATGGAAAATATATTAAGACACCCCCTGGAGTACCAGGTGAGGCATGTGGGGCTCAGACTGAGAGGGCCACAGGATGTTACTTCCAGTGAAGATTCTGGAGCAGCTTTGCATGAGTGTGCCTGGGCCACATGAGGTGGGACTCAGCTGAGCATCTGCTTTCTCTCTTGGCAGCCCCACCTGATCCCTTGCTTTGCAAATTTGCTGATGGCGGGCCAAAGAAACGACAGAACCAAGGAAAATTTGTGCAAAATGGACGGGCCTGGCCAAGGAACGGAGACATGGTAAGAGGACCTCTGAGGAGACAAGAGTACTAAGGACATTCAAGTGGAATGGGAATGATCATGGCATGATTTCTGTGAGCCGAGGTTGAAAGCTTGAGAGCTACAGCAGGTAACCGAGAGGTGCTGGCTGTTGACATACTGCCAGTGTGTTCTTGAGTGGGGCTTTGCAGCCTGAACAATCAGAAAAACCCTGAACAGCTGTAGTGGGACTTGTCCAGGCTTTAATTCGTTAAACTAAATACATTCCCAGCCTTGGACGTTCTGGGCCTGTTCTCACACAAGGACTCACAATGTGAACACTGTCTTCTTTCTTTATAGGGTAGCATGGCCTTGACCTATGACCCCACCACATCTCTTCAGAATGGGTAAGGGTGTTTTATATAACCAGGCCACCTGAAAATGATAATAGCCTATATCCAGACACTCAAATGTTTCATCTTGATTGTCTCTATTTGAAAGTCAAGGAAGAGTTGGCTGTGCCTATCCGTCGGGGCTCTTCCCTTGTGGTTTCCTGTGACTCAGTACTGATTGAGGTTCCTTCCCACAGGTTTTACCCAGCCCCTTATAACATCACCCCCAACAGGATGCTTGCTCAGTCTGCACTCTCCCCATACCTTTCCTCTCCCGTGTCTTCGTATCAGGTATGTTCGTGCCTGAAAAAGGGTGCGGTGGTTTTCCCTACTATTGTGCTTTAAGTAATATAAGGCTAGGAACTTCTTATTTTTTGTTTTTTCTTTTAATCATATTTCACACAATTTTACATAACAGTGTAAAAGATGATCTGTGTGTGTGCAGTGATATATATAGTATGTAGTTTCCCCCCCAGTATGTAGTTTTAATGGTGTCCTCTTACTCCCCTTCCACCACCCCCACAAGTAAACTCATGTTAATGTCCTACTGTGTAGCATTGGTCATATTTTTTCATGTGAATATACACATTTGTATAGCATTTGGGAAGTTATTTATTTTACAAAAGTTGGACCATATTAAATATATTTTTACATTCACTCATCTCACTTAACAGTATCGTACACCAGTGATTCTCAAAGTGTGGTCCTAGACCAGCAGTGTCAGCATCATCTGCGAATTTTTAAAAACAGAAATTTTGGACCCCCCTCCAAATCTACTGAATTACAAACTCTGAGTATGGGGCCCAGCGATCTGAGTTTTTGTTTTGTTTTGTTTTTTTGCGACAGAGTGAGACTCTATTGCCCAGGCTGGAGTGCAGTGGCAAGAACTCAGCTCACTGCAACCTCTACCTCCCAGCTTCAAGTGATTCTCCTGCCTCAGCCTCCCAAGTAGCTGAGATTACAGGCGTATACCAACATGCCGGGTAATTTTTGTATTTTTAGTAGAGACAGGGTTTCACCATGTTGGCCAGGCTGGTCTTGAACTCCTGACCTCATGATCTGCCCACCTCAACCTCCCAAATTGCTGGGATTACAGGCATGAGCTACTGTGCCCAGCCCTGTTTGATTTTTATTTATTTATTTATTTATTTTTTGAGATGGAGTCTCGCTCTTGTTGCCCAGCCTGGAATGCAGTGGCACAATGTTAGCTCACTGCAACTTCTGCTTCCTGGGTTCAAGTGATTCTCCTGTCTCAGCCTCTGAAATAGCTGGGATTACTGGCATATGCCACCACACCCAGCTAATTTTTGTATTTTTAGTAGAGATGAGGTTTCACCATGTTGGTTGGGCTGATCCCAAACTCCTGACCTCAGGTGATCTGCCCACCTCGACCTCCCAAAGTGCTGCACCACGCCCGCCATGATCTGGGTTTTAATAAGCCCTCCAGGTGATTCTGTTGCAGCTAACATTATCTCTGCTCTAATTTTATCTTTTTTAATGGTTACATTATAATTCATGCTGCAGATGTGCCAGAATTCTTTAGCTATACCCAATGAGAGCGTTCACTTAGATTCATTTTTTTGCTGCTATCAATAATGCTCCACTAAACACTGTTGTGCTATATTTTTACATAAGACTGCTTCTATTTCTGGGGGCTAGAGTCTCAGGAGTTGGATTGCTAGGTTGAATGGTGTACGGATGTTCAGCTTGATAGACATTGCCAGATTGCTTTCCACAAAGGCTGTGTTACCTCACATTTCTACCAGCCTTGTGTGAAAGTACCCATTTCCCTCCAGACATAGGTGTTACTGCTCTTTTTAAATTGTTCCTGTCCTCGTGATCCACCCGTCTCAGCCTCCCAAAGTGCTGGGATTACAGGTGTGCAAGGTGAAGAGATCAAGACCATCCTGGTCAACACGGTGAAACCCTGTCTCTACTAAAAGTACAAAAATGAGTTGGGCGTGATGGCACATGCCTGTAGTCCCAGCTACTCAGGAAGCTGAGGCAGGAGAATTGCTTGAACCTGGGAGGTTGGAGGGAGGCAGAGGTTGCCGTAAGCCGAGATCACACCACTGCACTCCAGCCTGGTGACAGAGCGAGACTCCATCTCAAAAAACAAACACAAATTAGCTGGGCATAGTGACAAGCACCTATAATCCCAACTACTACGGAGGCTGAGGCAGGAGAATCGCTTGAACCCAGAAGGTGGAGGTTGCAGTGAGCCATGATTGTGCCATTGCACTCCAGCCTGGGCAGCAAGAGTGAAACTCCATCTCAAAAAAAAAAAAAAAAATTGTTCCTGACTTGATGAATGTAAAGTACATTGTTATTTTAATTTGCATGTCCCTGACTATAGGTGAATTTAATCATTTTGTTTGTTATATTTTGATTTGCTTCTCTCTGATTGCTATTCATATGCTTTACCCATGTTTCTATTTATTTGTTCTTTTCTCATAAATTTATAAAAACTATATATAAGTATTAATCTTCTGAATATTATCTTTGTTACATATTTTTTTTTCCAGTTTTATTTTTCGGCTGTTGACTTTGTGGTCTTCAAACTTTAGTGGTGTATGAGAATCACGTGGAAAGCTTATTGAAACCTGGGTTGCAGCATCACACTCAGAGTTTCTGGTTCAGTAAGACTAGGGTAGAAGGCAAGAATTTGCATAGCCAACAAGTTCCCAGGTGATGCTCCTGCTACTGCTGCTTGTTCAGGGAACATACTGTGGGAATCACTAGTCTTTGCCATATAAAAGTTGGCCAGGTGTGATGGCTCATGCCTGAAATCCCAGCAGTTTGGGAAGCGGAGGCAGGCGGATCACTTGAGTTCAGGAATTCAAGACCAGCCTGGGTAACATGGTGAAACCCCCATCTCTACAAAGTATACAAAAATTATCTGGGCATGGTGGTGCATGACTGTAATCCCAGAAACTCGGGAGGCTGAAGTAGGAGGATCGCTTGACCCCAGAGGTTGACAGAGCAAGACCATGTCTCAAAAAAAAAAAAAAAAAAAGTAAACTTTGTATATAGTTGGCTGGACACGGTGGCTCACTCCTGTAATCTCAGCACTTTGGGAGGCTGAGGCAGGCAGATCACGAGGTCAGAAGATCAAGACCAGCCTGACCAACATGGTGAAACCCTGTCTCTACTAAAAATGTAAAAATTAGCCAGGTGTGGTGGTGTGCACCTGTAATCCTAGTACTTGGAAGGCTGAGGCAGGAGAATTGCTTGAACCCAGGAGGCGAAGGTTGCAGTGAGCCGAGATTGTGCTACTGCACTCCAGCCTGGGCTAGGCAACACAGCTAGACTCCACCTAAAAAAATAATTATATATAGTTAAATTTTTATTTTCCTTTTATAAAAAACTTTTGAATTTCTTGTCTTAATTTAAAAAGTATTCTCAGTCTCTAAATTATGTATCTGGTCTCCAAGATTTTTTTTTTTTTTTAGGTTTTGGTCTCTAAGATTTTATGTTTTATATTTACATTTAAATGTCTAATCATCAGGATTTTATTTTTGTGTATGGCATAAGATAGGAGTCCTGGTTTTTTGTGTGTTTTGTTTTTTTTTTTCAGATGGAGTCTTGCTCTGTCGCCAGCCTGGAATGCAGTGGTGTGATCTTGGCTCACTGCAACCTCTGCCTCCTGGTTTCAAGCGATTCTCATGCCTCAGCCTCCTGAGTAGCTGGGATTACAGGCACACGCCCCACACCCAGCTAATTTTTGTATTGTTAGTAGAGATGGGGTTTCACCCTTTTGGCTAGGTTGGTCTTGATCTTCTGACCTCATGATCCAGCCACCTTCACCTCCCAAAGTGCTGTCATTACAGATGTGAGCCACCGCGCCCAGCCAGGAGTCCTGTTTTCTTTCAGAGTGTTAACCAGTTGGCCTAGCATCAAATTATTAAATAATGTAATTTTTTGGATTATTTCAAATCCAATTTGAATTGAAATGCCCCTGCAACCCATAATATACTTTTTGTGTCTATAGATTTCCCTATTCTGGACATAATAGGCAAAGCCCAGAAAATTGTATGATCGTATGATTACACATAAGTAAAACCACACAATATGTAGTTTTTTTGTCTGGCTTCTTTCACTTAATATGTTTTCAAAATTTGTCCATGTTGTAGTGTTTATCAGTACTTCATTCTTTTTATAGCTGAATAATATTCCATTATATGGGTATACCACATTTTGTTTATCCAATTATCAATTGATCATCATTTGAGTTGTTTCCTTTTGGCTATTATGAATAATACTGCTATAAACATTGACATACAAGTTTCTGTGTGGACATATGTTTTCATTTCACTTGGGTATATACCTAGGAGTGGAATTGCTGGTCTACATAGTTAACTGTATGTTTAATTTTTTAAGGAACTACCAACACATTTTCCAGAGTAGCTGCACCATTTTACATTCCCACCAGCAGCAGCAGCATAAAACACTTGTCATTCTGTCCTTTTCATTGGAGCCATGCTGGCCTGGCACTGTGGCTCACACCTGTAATCCTAGCACTTTTGGAGGCCGAGGTGGACTGATTACTTGAGCCAAGGAGTTTGGGAGCAGCCTAGGCAACATGGCTCTACAAAAAATACAAAAATTAACCAGGTGTAGTGGCGCACACCTCTAGTCCTACCAGTGCACTCCAGCCTGGGCAACAGAGAGCAAGACCCTGTTTCAAAAAATGGAAATAATAATTGTAGCCATCCTAGTGGGTATACAGTGGTATCCCATTGTGGTTTTGGTTTGCATTTGAGCCTCCTTCATGCACTCATTGGCTACCGGTATATCTTCTTTCCAAACCCTTTTCTTTTTTTTTTTTTCTTTTAACATTTTTTAGTGATGGAGTCTCTCTCTGTCACCCAGGCTGAAGTGTAGTGTCAGAATTATAGCTCACTGTAATTTTGAACTCCTTTTTGCCCTTTTTTTCCACTGGTTTATTTATTGAGTTTTAAGAGTTGCTAATATTTTTTTAAACAGTTTTTCTTAATGTTTCTAGTTTTAGTGGGGCATTCCAACTTTTCTGGGCTTTGCTGAACTTGGCCAGATCCTTGGGCTGAACAGTAGTTTCCAGGCAATTAACATTTTTGCTTTTGCTTGTTTTAGAGAGTGACTCAGACATCTCCTCTACAAGTACCTAACCCATCTTGGATGCACCACCATTCATACCTCATGCAACCTTCAGTGAGTGTTCAGAAGTGGGCAGAAGCCAAAGAGGCAATTTGATGTAAAGAAAAAATAGACCGGGCACAGTGGCTCACGCCTGTAATCCCAGCACTTTGGGAGGCCGAGGCGGGTGGATCACCTGAGGTCGGGAATTCAAGACCAGCCTGGCCAACATGGTGAAACCCCTTCTGTACCAAAAATACCAAAAATTAGCCGGGTGTAGTGGCAGGCATCTGTAATCCCAGCTACTCAGGGGGCTGAGATAGGAGAATTGCTTGAAGCTGGCAGGCGGTGGTTGCAGTGAGCCGAGATTGCACCATTGCACTCCAGCCTGGGCACAAGAATGAAACTCCATCTCAAAAAAAGAAAAAACAATGGGTTTTGATGCCCGGAGATGTAGGTGTGAGCTCTGGCTTAGACCCTTGTGCAACCCAGAAGTAAGACCTAAGCTTGTTATTCTTGGACGAGGGTCCTTCCACACTGACAGGCAGAGTTCCTATTCCTGTTGCATAGTTGGGTTGCTGCTCATTTACCATTTCCCAGGATTCTTAAATGTCTGTCTCCAGTGGTCCTGACAGCCACCAATCACTGCTTTAGGCAGCTTCACAGGATGCTGCAGCTAACACTGTCTTTCTTTTTTTTTTTTTTTTGGGGAGGGGGTTTACTCATGTTACCCAGGCTGGAGTGCAATGGCGCGATCTCGGCTCACCGCAACCTCCGCCTCCTGGGTTCAGGCAATTCTCCTGCCTCAGCCTCCTGAGTAGCTGGGATTACAGGCACACGCCACCATGCCCAGCTAATTTTTTGTATTTTTAGTAGAGACGGGGTTTCACCATGTTGGCCAGGATGGTCTCGATCTCTTGACCTCGTGATCCACCCGCCTCGGCCTCCCAAAGTGCTGGGATTACAGGCTTGAGCCACCGCGCCCGGCCTAACACTGTCTTTTGTTGCCGCTTCTAGGGTTCAGTTCTGACACCAGGGATGGACCATCCTATTTCTCTCCAGCCAGCCTCCATGATGGGACCTCTTACCCAGCAACTGGGCCACCTCTCCCTGAGCAGCACAGGCACGGTAAAGCAGGATGTTTCTGATTGTAAACTCTCCTTCTGAGCAAGGCATACCTGTGTAATACTCTTCAGGATAAGTAACTTATGAATAATGATGACATTACTTCAGTGTCATCCAGGGTACACTCAGAACAGAACATAAACTATAGTGGTAGTGCTCCATGAGCCAGGAATATAGCCATTTGCTCCCCAGACCCCACTCTTAACTGATTCCTACTCATGCACCTCATGAATAGTGCTTCTGTCTGCATATTAAAGATACAAACATGTCCTAGGAATCCTCATCAAAATAGTACCTGGAAGGATGGAGGAAGCTCATTAGGTTTCTTTTAGGCTTACTGCATTCCTTTTTATATAGAAGGGCTCAAGGGTAGAGAAGGGAGCCTGTCAAGGAAAAGGAGAAGAAAGTCATATAGGGAGACGTCTCTCTAAGCCAGTGTACTTTAGAACCACCTGAAATGCTTTTAAGAAGCTAATGCTCAAGTCAATTAAATTAGGAGGTCTTGGGCATAACACAGGTGTCAGTATTTTTTTTAAAACTCCCCAACTGCTTCAAATGTAGCCAAGAATCACCGCTGTAAGCCCGCTGATGTTTCTCTTTCTAGTATATGCCAACGGCAGGAGCTTACGTCTCCCAGTATGCCCCTGTGCCTTCTTCCAGTGTTTCAGTGGAGGTAAGTGTGTTATCATTTCTTTGGATTGCGGTTAGGAAAATGAACAGAGGCAGGTTTCACCCTGATCAAGATCTTCCTCTCACAATGTTGCTGGCTCTGTGTTCACAGGTAGCTGGTAGGTATATGGAGCCCGTAGGAAGGATATCCTTGCTTCAGCAGCACACATGGCAAAAGTGGAATGACACAGGGATTATGGCCCCTGTGCAAGGATGACATGGAGATTTGTGAAGCGTTTCATATTTAAAAAAACAACAGATGTAGGAAAGAAGGACTTGGTCTGAGTTCATGAATGAGGCCCTTCTTCATGTTTGGTCAGGCAGTAGTTAACACCAGGATGCTGGCTCGTTTTGACAAATGTGTCTTGGGAAGAGGACAGACTGCTAGGAAGGTTAGGGAAGTGGTGCCGTGGGTGGAAGCACTCACACATGAGTGTGGAGAGTGGGTGGCTGGGAGGGCACTGACAGTGGGTGGGCTTTGGTGAGGCTGCTGTAGTGGGAGATGAGGAAAGGAACATGCAAGATGACTCCCCTCCTTGGCCATGGCACAGGAGAGCAGCAGCCAGCAGAACCAAGTGGCAATGGACGCGCCCTCAGAGCATGGGGTCTATTCTTTCCAGTTCAACAAGTAACAGTGGGTAAGAACCACATGCTGGGGGGCAGGGAAGGCTGTGCTGGTAAACAGCAGCTCAGCCCGGCCTAAAGTCACACAGGTTCTCATATTTGTCTTATCTCCTCTCTGGCTTATGCCTTCTTTAGGATTCCCCTCCCCATCTTTACTGAATAGAAATGAATTCTTGGAGATACTCATGCTCCCAGATTCCAGAGGGTTAACCAGGAATGCAGACCATCTGTTGGCCCTGCTAAGGACTCACACTTAGCCATCGTTTTTCACAGGCCTGGGCCTGGAAAAAGAAATCTCTACGTTCCTGCCCTCTGCTCTTTCTCCATTGCTGATGGAGCCTGGGGAACCATCACTTTTTGTGTGTACTACATTCAAGGAGATCCAAAAAACTTTTTTTTCTTTTGCAAAGAAAGATTTTTGTTTTTAACTGCAATGTACTGTTCCCTACCCTGAGAGACATGGTGGTTGGAGCTTCTTCTCGTCTATATGAAAAAGTGTTTGATGTATTGGAATTATTTGGGGATGCTTTTAAAACGATTTGTAATTATTTCTTTAAAACCCAAAACAAAACAGAAAGTTGTGGTGCTAGAGCACTGATGTAGGAGCCCTGCTTACTGAGCTTGGTGATGGGCTTTTTTGATGTGTGTGTGTATGTATTTTAAAAAGTGTGCAGACCTTCAAAATTTTGTTTTGTAAAACTCTCAGCTCACATACCCCATCTCTTCACCCATGTTATTCCTTCTTTCTCTTTTCCAGATTGTTTTTTCCTCTGTTCTAAACAGCTGAGGCTGCCTACTTTGCCCTTCTACAGCTTTTAATTTTATGGATATTTAAAAATGAAATTTCATGTGGGATTTGGGGTGGGGTGAGCAGGCTGGGCAAGGAACAAGGCAGAACACTAAGTAGGCCATGGAAGTGGCTGTTCTTTCCTCCACGCTGCCACCTTCTGGGAGAAAAAACTAGACTTTGGCTTCAGAAAGCACAGATGTGACCCAGGCTTACGAATGAGACAATTCCACAGCCCTGAGAACACACCCTTGAGCCAAATTTGGTTGAAGACTAGGTCTTCCCTGGCAAGTTCCAGAAGAATGGACTTACTTTGACCAACTCTTTTCACTGCCAAGGCCAACAGATTCTGAGGAAATGTCTGTGCCAGCTACAGCCTTTGGGAGTCCCTGCCTTACCTGCCTCCTGTCTGTCCCGGGCTTCACGGCCCTTCTCTTCCCTGTGCACGTTGCCATGCTTAGAGCCTTTGCAGCTGTGACCTAGTTGAATCCGCATAGGCTCCTTCTGCACTCTGGAAGATCTGCTACTTCACCTCAGACCAGGGGTTCTCAACCAGAGGCGGTTTTGTCCCTTAGAGGCCTTTGGCAACATCGAGGCATTTTTGATTGCCACGCCTGGAGGTGAGATGTGTGTGCTACTGGCATCTAGTGGCTGGAAACCGGGGTTGCTGCTAACCATCCTGCACTGCATAGTACAGTCCCCACCACCCTCAGCCAGGGATTATCTGACTCCAGAGGTCAGTATTGCCAAGTTTGGGAAACACTGCTATAGACAGTGTTGTCCCTGCCTCCTCCGTTAGGGTAAATGCTCACCCAAACCCTGGACAAACAGTGCCTTTGACACCCATGCAGCTGTTTGGGAAGGACCAGACTGAGATCCTAGGATTCTCCCCAGACTTTGACCTTTGATACCTCTGCATATAGCAAGAGTGATCCTTGAAAGAGTTGTGGCTCCATGCTGAGTGCACACACGCGCTCAGAAGGATTCAGGGCACTCTTCTGGTGTGTGCTGTGCAACGGTGGGAAAGGACAAAGCTCTCTAAACTGTCCAGAGCAACCTGCCCTGCCCTGGTGTGCTTGGACCCCGTGCCCAGGGAACTAGGACATCAGAAATAATTTTCCTTCTTATGGAAGGAAAACAGGGAGCGAGGGTAGAAAAGAGCAATAAATTCCAACTCTTTGTGAGGTTAGGAGTCCTTTTAAGTCCTTTTAAAAAGCCTATGTCTTGGTCTTTAAATGTTCCCTTCTGCAAGATGTGACTCTCTACACATGGAGACAGATTGAAGAAAGCCTCGCCCATCTTCTAGGAAGTAAAATCCTGCTCCTGTCTTCTCCCAGTCACTCCCTTATGCACTGAAAGGAAAATTCCACTCCCCTGTACTCCAAGGCCAGGTGCCTCTCCACCAAACAAGTCAAACAAAGGCAAATGATGAAGGATAGAGAGACAGGTGTTCATTAGGCGAGCCATAGGGAGAGGAAGGGGGTGACAGCAGGGAGGAAGAAACTGTAGTATCAGTTGTGGGACATAGAGCTTGGCCCAGCTTTCCCTCCCTTCCCAGCCACGCCAGAATTGAGAGTCCCAGTGCCCCCTAGTGTCGACTTTCTATGTACATCTGGGGGTGAGGGAGTGCGAGGCAATGGGGAGGATATAAAATGTAAAGGACAGAATTGCTGTGGTCTTCCTCTTGATGCTTCCAACCTTAGGAGGGGCTCATCCAGTGTAAAACAGCCCCAAACCCACTACCTTCTACCTTCTCGAGGGCTTCGGCTGGGCAGATAGCTTTTGTTTTTGAGTCTCCAGCTGTCAGTCAAGGAAAATATACCATAGCTGCTTTCTTGTCAGTGGCCTTTGAGAGAAAATCTAGAAATCTGTTCATTTGATAGACAGAAGCAGCTTTGCTATGTATGGTAGGAGGTTTAGGAAGGGCCTTTCATGCATAGAAACCATTGTTGATATGGCCACTCCCCGCTCCTCTGCCTCACAGAACTCTTGATTCTGTCTTCTTTCTCCATAGTTAAACAAATGTTTAAATCGCCCTAATTTTTTGTTTGAAATTTTGAATTTGCCTTTTGGGCTTCTCATGTGAATCTACTTGTTAGATTGTATTACATGTTTTTCTGTTTTGGGCGTGGGAAGTGATAGGGAGCCTCAAGTTATTTTGCAGTGGCTAATGGCACTGAGGAATTTCCATTTTGGTGCTTTGGGTTTACACTCATTTTCCCACCTAATTGTTAGTTCATTTGTAACAGTGGGTGAGTGTTTGGAGGAAAGGAGGGATACTGTTTCTCCCATAAAATAGTCTAATTGGTTGGGGTGATGGCAGAGGAATTGTGGGGGAGCCTTCCAGCTTACAGCCTAGGGTTGGGCTCTTAAACACTATGCCTAGTGTTTTCTGAATCCTGTCTTCACAGAGCTCAGATCTTACTCTCTTTGTACTTTACGTCTCACCCCAACTCATTACAGATGCTCATAACATTCTTAAAATATTTTAGTACTTGGCATTTTTCTGTTTTCAGTCAAATAGAACATACCAGAGTCCCTTCCTCAGATGGCGTAATCCTTTACAGTGTTAGAACTCCACATCTCAGGCTCTGAGTTGATATTCAGACCCTAAACTGATTTGACTTTTTGGAGGAGGGTGCCAGGAGAGGTCAGGAAGATGTGGGGATGGTGGAGAGAGATGTTTTTATATTTTAGAGATGGTCTCACTCTGTCACCCAGGCTGGGGTGCAGTGGTACAGTCATAGCCCACTACAGTCTTGAATTTCTGGACTCAAGGGATCCTCCCACCTCAGCCTCCCGAGTAGCTGGAACTACAGGCTCGTACTGCCATGCTCATTTAGTTTAAGTTTTTTTGTAGGGACAGGAGTCTTACTGTGTTGCCCAGACTGGTCTTGAACACCTGTCAAGTGAGCCTCCCACTTCAGCCTCCCAAAATGTTGTGATTATAGGTATGAGCTTTTATGCTTGGATGAGATGTTATTTTTAATGTTTGGGGGCTTTTTTTTTTTTTTTAAAGGCAGGTTCTCCTGTGGCCCAGGCTGGAGTGCAGTGGTACCATCCTGGCTCACTGGAGCCTCAACGTCCCAAGGCTTAGGTGATCCTCCTGCCTCAGGTGCCCCTTCCCCCGCCACCAAGTAGTGGTATACCACCACACCTGGCTGATTTTATTTTTAGTAGAGATGGGGTTTCACCATGTTGCCCAGGCTTGTCTTGAACTCCTGGGCTCAAATGATCCCCCCACCTCAGCCTCCCAAAGTGCTGGGATTACAGGCAAGAGCCACCATGCCTGGCCTTTTTAGTTGAGTAGCTGGGATTACAGGTGCCCGCCATCCTGCCTGGCTAATTTTTGTATTTTTAGTAGAGATGGGGTTTCACCATGTTGGCCAGGCCGGTCTCTAACTCCTAACCTCCAAATGGCTAATTTTTGTATTTTTAGTAGAGACAGGGTTTCACCACGTTGCCCAGGCTGGTCTTGAACTCCTGGGCTCAAATAAACCGCCTGCCTTGGCCTCCCAAAGTGCTGGGATTACCCACCAAACCCGGCCCTTTGTAGTGTCTTTAGTCAAAGAATTTGAAGAGTTGCCCAGGCTAGGAAGCCTGGTGGCTGTAACAGGTAATACACCTTTTCAGTAACACATAGGGAGTGGCAGAACTCATACTGGGGACGAAGATCAGACATTGCTGCTTCACAGGCCATGCTTAGGTTGGGCCACTTCAGCTCCATTCCATTCCCTTTCCTTTCCTAACTTGCCAATCAGTGAGCTCATTCATTCTCAATGTCTCCAGTGCCTACTCCCTGTCACTCCAATGTCAACCCATTGGGAGCTGAGGCCTGCACGTGAGCTGTTACTTTGCATCATACAGATGCTGTGACAGGCCTTGCTGGAATGGTAGGGATCCCCCTAGAAGCAGTGACTGCTATTCTAGAAAAGAACTATTGCCACTGCCTTGTGCACATGCCCCACCTTCTGGGAAAGTGACAACATTGCACTCAAGAGAGGCTTTGCATTCTTGGCCAAGGGCAGTAAACTTGGGTGGGTGATCTGGCCCAACCTTGCCCCCAGGCTCTGCTAGCCCTGAATCAGCAGGCTTGAGAGAGGAGGGTGGGTGTTATAAAAGCCAGTCTGTAAAGGGTAAATTCCAAACCTTGTGCCTTTTTATACCAATCCTTCCTGATTCCCTTTTAAACTAACTACTCTATTTCTGTGCTGCCTGCATTTTCAATCCTCCCAAGCATTAGCAGATTCCTGAAATTTCCTCATTTGGTAGGCTTCCCATAGGAGTCGGCAGCTAAAACCAGACTGTGAGCTTCCGTCTCCCTTCTGATCTTTGCTCCTCCTCCTAGGGCACAGTCTCCCACATAACTAGACAAAAGCTAGGTGCCCTCATCACCCCAGTTACCCCTGACCTGTCCACTTGTTTTGAATAAATGTGCATTCTCCAAGCAGATCCCCCAATTTCCTTGTCCTTGTTACACATCTACCTCACAATCTCACAATTCAACAAGGGCATAAATACCTGATTTACCTATTTCATTCCTTCTCTCTCTGAGGGTTGGGAAGCTGGGGACTAGAAAAGGCTCATAATTGTAAAAACTCTTGGGAATTTCCATTCCTAGAATGTTTTCTCTGGGATTTTTAGCTCACTGATCACCCTAGAATAGTGTGAACTCTCCAGATAGGTCCTAATGTGATAGGCCAGAGGAGGAGGCTGTGCAGTGACTGCTTAGGGTAATAAGTGATGGTTGGAGGACACCAGCATAGGAGCAGAGGTTAGAACTTGGAGGACAAGAAAGCTGGTCAGTGGCTGGTGTATAGCTGTGAAGGTAACCAAATACCAGAGAGGAGGTTTGTGATATAAGGCTGGAAGCAAATGTTCCTTCTCTACCTTAGTATACACTTCCGGGCGTTCACCAAGACAAATTTTCCAGGCTGGAGGGCAATACTTTCTAGCCTGAGTGAAGTCCCCTCTCCAACATACACCCTTTTTGGGTGGGTGAATACCCTTTTTCATGTGGACAGAAAATGTTTATTCTTAACACATTTTGTACTTTTTATCTGGAGACTAGTGTTATATACTTCCCACATCTACGCCAATGCCACCATTCTAACTTACTCTTCTTTTTCTATCCCTGGTCTTCTCCTTGTCCTTCCCTACAATTTGGTAGAGGTCCATTTTGTCATACTTCAAACTTTTTCTTTTAATAAAACACAAAAGTCTACGTCTTGGTGTCTTATCCATGAGTGGGAAGTGGGAAGCTGGTGATGGGCCCATGTTTGCTATGACAGGAACACAGGTGACGGCTTAGAAAGCTGGGGCCACATCTCACAAGGCAGGACCTGGGTGCACTGAATCCCACTTTGCTCCAGCAACTCAGCCAGACATTTAGGCAGGAGCACTAATAACCCTTTCCATCCACACAAACGGTGTGGAACAGGAGTCTGGCTTCTAGTGCCATTTGCACAGAAAAGGCGAGCGTGTTGTTCCCCGACCTGTGGTCTCTTAAGCCAGTCCTACCCACCCCAACCCCATCTCCCCCGGTGTATAGAAGGGAGGATGAATACACAGAGTCTTTTGAATCTCTATCAAATGTGGTTTTTTTTATTCAACTGACAAGCACTTTTCTACAGCTGCACTTGTGGAACATCACATGGCAAAAACAGGAGTTTTTTTCTCTAGACTTTTTTTTCACCTTATTAAAAATGAGATTGGTCCTAAAAATATAGAAAGAAATAAATTTAAATTCACAAAAAACTGTACATTATCAAAAAGTCACTAAAACACCACATTTGGTTATATAAAAAGTCCCTTTTGCTGTAAAAGGAACATGGAAACTTGTTGGTGTTGACGGTGTGGTTTCTTCCTGTCAACCAGACCGATTGGGGGGGGGAGCAAAAGGGCAGGGGGTGGGTTAGCTTTTTATTTTAAACCTGCTTTCCCTACCAAATACTCTTGTCGTGAAGAGAAAATCCACCTAGCTCAAGGGGGCAGTGAAGATGAGGAAAGAAAAGCAAGAAATGGCCCCTTTGATCATGTCCTATCCCCACCCCCCCATCTGGCCCCCACTTCAATCTGAGGCTAGGACCCCACCCTACCATATGAGTGTCTGGTCCCTAGCAAAAGAGATGGAGCTGGGAGAGGAACACAAAGTAGGAACCATGGAGATTTCATTCCCTATCCA